GTTTGGGTTTGGGGGGGGTGGGGGGGGGGGGAGACAAGGGCAAGAAAAATGCTGCCAAACTGCTACCGCTTTGGCAAGGGCTCCGGCGCGGGGCCCAGATCTGCCTGAGCTTGTCCTGCTCCAAGGCCTCCCGCATCTACAATTAAGGTGCCCCACCTCTGCCGCCGGGCACTCCTCCCCCTGCCCTGGTGAAGGAACCGGGTCGCCAGCCCAGCTCCCCCCAACCCGCCCGGGGCTCCCTGTCCCCCTGCCGCCTCCCGCCCAGCAGCCCCCGGATGGGCTCGGTGCCTTGGCAGCATCCCTCCCACCTGCCCCCAGCGCCCTTTGCCAGCTGCCGAAACTGCCACCGCGTCACTGCCGACTCACCCTGACAGGAGCCAGGGATGATGAGCCCTGCTTTGCTCCCTGCTTCCCAGCACCCCTGTGCAAGGGAAACAAGCCCCGTTGCTGAAAGGGGAAACTGAGGCACAGAGGAGAAGCTGCAATGCACTGCCAACCTGCTTCTGTCACCCCTTCAGCTGCTGGAGCTGCAGCCTGAGCCCGCTCCAGGTGACACATGGGAAGCAGGAGTCGCTGGGGCTTCTGATGCAACCCCCGCACTCTGGATGCAATCCCCACTGCAACAGAGCTGGGAGGTCCTAAAAGCCATAATCACCAGTTTTTCCACCTCAGCTCAGGGTCATGGAGCCTCCTGTATGCCCCCAGCCAAAATCATAGACCGAAGAGCCTGGCACAAGTCCCCTTCTCCCCCTAGGACATGGGAATGGCGTGGAGAAGGGCTTCTCCTGGCCCCTGCCAGCAGACCATGATAGAGGGGAGCCAATGGGGTCCCAGTTTGCAGGGAGCCAGGGGAGAGGGTCTGGCAGAGCCATGTGGTGAGGAAAAGGATGGTCAACCTTCACAACCGGCATCTGCATCTTGGGTGGAAAAAGGTCTCCTTTGGTCCTGAGGGCCCTGAAACCCCAAGGGAGAGCAGCAGTTGTGCTGTGCCAGCTCCAGGTCTGCACCCACTGAGTCCTACTGCCTGGACGTTCCCATGAGGCAAGGAGGTCCTGCTGTGGGGTAGCAAGGGCATGGCTTGCCTTGCATCCAGGTCTCTGTCCCAGCCCCTGGATGCCTTCAGGAGGGGGATGCAGGGTGCCAGGGTACCCAGCCCATCGCCCCGAGCCCTGGATAGCCAAGCTCCATCCCCGGGGGGACAGCTCACCCGCTCACCCCACATCCCACCCGGTGGTGTCATGCTCAGTGACAGCCCTGCAAGGAAATCGGACCCAATGGGAGCCCATCTCTTTCCAAACCGTGCAAACAGGGTGAGGGGGGCACACATATGAATTTTCACCCGTCCAGCTTTCCCTTCATCCCACGCAGGCGTGCGGCGGGCACCCGGCCCCTCACCCGGGGCAATGCGTGGGTGCTGCCACTAACCGGGGCAGCCGGGTGTGGAAAGCAGAGCGGGAGGCGCACGGGGGGGGTGAGTAAGCAGCAAGTCACTGCCCTGGGGGGCACAGCCAGGGCTGGGCTCCCCAGCAGCACCGGGGGCACCAAGGGAGCGGGAAATGCCGTGGGTTGGGGAGAACAGGGGGACCCTGTTCCCTGCCCTCCTCCTCACACCTCCTCGGCAAGGATGGGATGTAAACAGCTGGGAAGCCGCCTGAAGGAAAGAGGCTTTGGTGTGGCATGGCATGGTGTCAACCCATGGACCTGCCGGCTGCAGGGTCATGCTGAGGCTGGGTGCCTGTGAGCGGGAACTGCCCAAGCTTGAGCTGCGGGTACTGGGGGGGGGGATGGAGGGAGCATGTGCCCGCAGGGATGGCTGTCCCGAAGCCGTGTCCAAGCCCCGGAAGGGCTGGGATGAGAAGAAAGGGGTCTTCTCACCTCTAGTCACTGTGTCCTAGTCACTTCCTCCAGGCGCTCATGGAGGCTGGAGCTGGGGTGGTGCAAAGTCTGGGCCAGCGTACAGCCAAGTGTGGCAGCCACATGCGGTGGCAGGACCCTGTACATTCGTGACCCCACCTGAGTGAATATCGAGGTGTGCTCAGCTCTGCCCAGCACCCTCCTGCACAGGGGGGATGTGAAGAGGTCAAGCCTCTGATGCAGAGTCCGGCCGAGCCCTCCAGCTTGGGGCATGGACAGGTCAGGGCTGGGCAGCCTGGCTGTCACCGTGGAAGAGGTGACCAGGAGTAGGGACGAGGGATGGCATGGCGGAGAGCTCAGTTGTCTTTGGGGCAGGACACAATTAGCCCAATTCTGGAGCCAGTGCTGTCTTAAATTGTGCGAGGGAAACAGTTTCCTTTTGAAAAAAACAGCGGGTCAGCGGCCGCCCCGGAAGGGGCACGGGGAGATGCCGCTGGGCAGGGCTTTGCTGCCCACACAGCCCTGCTCCGGGGGTGAGGGCATGCCTGGGATGGCCGGGCAGCTCAGTCTGCTGGGCACCATGGGGAGCCGTGGGCTGTGGGGTGGCGGGTGTGGGTCAGCAGGCCTGGGGGGGTGACTCACGATGCTCACCCCACGGCACACAGGCAGGGGGTGCAGCCCAGCAGCCTGCCCTTACAGGCTCCACACAGTGCGGGTGCTGGTTGGGGCAGCGGAGGAGAAGGGGAGGCCATTGGCACATGAAACCCACCTGGGGACGTGTGGCTTTGGGGGCACAGGGGCCAGGACCCCATCGAGCAGGGGTGCAGCCACAGGTGCCAGCGGATGGGTCCTCCCTGAGCTGGCGTCTGGAGGAGCTGCACAGAGAGCTGGAGACGTACTGCCTGTGTGTGGGCATGTTTGGGAAGGGACACAGGGCAGGTGCCCATCCCTCCGGGCCCCCTCAGACCCACAGCTGGAGCAGAGAACATCTCACCTGGGATGGTTTTCTCCCTTGCTCTCTCTTCCACCTCCACAGAGAGCTGATGGGCAATGGGGAAGCCTGGCTTTGCTCATCCCCATCCCCACGGTGCCTCCATCACTGCATGCACAGCCCAACCACAAACTGGCTCAGCTGAAATCCTGCCCTGAACCTGCCCGGGGCTGCTGAGGCACCCGTTCGCCTGCCCCATATCCCTGCACCCTCCGGGCCAGCCCAGGAGCCCCAGGTGGTCCCTACCTGTCCTGTTCAGGGAGGAATCGCTGTTGCACAAGAAGCTGGGTGAGAAACATGAAAAGATGAAGGGAGGAGGAAGAAAGAGATTTTACAGGGCTGGTAGAAACAAGGGGAGCCTATTCCCTGCAGCCTGGCAATAATCAAGGGACCCACAGCGCCTGAATGCCACATGTTCCCCGTCGGCACTGACCACAGCTGGCTCCCCTCTGCCACAGAAAGGTCCATGTGTCTGCCCGTTCCCCTGTCCCTCTGCCTCTTCTCAGACACAGGGGCACAGGGGATATAGAACAAGGATGACTGTATCTTCAGTGAGCCCTCTGGGGACACCCCACCACAATTAGGATGCTCTTTCTCAGGCTACGGTGTCATCAGGAAGATGTCACTGCTCAGACATCGCACCTGAACCTCTCTCCTTAGATGCAGCCATCTGCCAGGATCCCAACTGGTGCTGTTACCACCCACAAGCGGCCAAACCTCACTGTGTGCCTGGGCTGGGGACCGTGCCCCCCAGGACCCATCCCCGCTGCACCCTGCCATGCCACCCTCTCAAATCAGTTTGCTTGTCACCAGTGTGGGAAAAAATGCCTCAGATAGGTAGCCCCTGTGTCCTCCCCCACTGTACGGCCAATGCACCCAGGAGTGGGACAGGGGTGGGCAAAGACCTCCCTTTCCTGCCCCGGGGAACCTGTCCCCTTGGCTCAGCACCCATGGGTGCCCCAGGGGAGTGTGCAGAGATGCACACGCGAAGCTGTGCCACCAAGATCCCCTATGCATCAGTGACAGGGACACTGAGGAACGGCTTTACCAATGCCACCAGCCCTGAGGCTTCCAGGAGCTCTGGCACAACACACAGCTTCACTCCTGAGCCCCCTTCTCACCCAAAGCAAAACCCACAGACACACCAGTGCTACCCAGACCCGGGAGAGGGGATGGGTACCGGGAGCAGGCACATGGGAAGATGCTCATCTCAAGCTGGCTCAAAGGGCTGGGCAGCACCTGCACCTCTCTCCCCCACATGGAAAGGGCTCCCTGAAAATGAGGGATGATCTCAGCTGGGGGCCAGAGATCCCAGGCTCTGGGGGAAGCAGCTATGAATTAACCGGCTGCTCCGGTGCCCCAACCTGGGAAGCCCGGCACATCCATTTGGTGGTGCTGGTGGCCTCATCCACACATCACCTCCTCCGAGCTCGCTGGCTCCAGGCTCTGGAGCGAAGCAGTGCGTGCTGGTGATCCCCCTGCGGCCGCTCTGCTGCCCGGCGCATTCGCCTGCACTGTGTGCAGCTGGGTTATTATTCTTAAATTAAAGGTTCCTTTTCTTCTTCTTTTTTTAAAAGAAGAAAAAACAAGTTTGACCCCTTGCCCTCTTCTGCCAAATACTGCTAATCTCCCCAAGCCGGCACTGCCAGCACATGCACTGCATGGTCACGGCACCAGCAGGACCTGGGCTCGGCAGCGAGACATGGCTCTGAGCAGCCAAGGCAAAGGGCAGTGGTACCCCGGCACGCTGCCCTTGCCAGTGCCCTCTGCTTGCCCCTGAACTGAAGGCAAAGAGAGCTCCTGCTGCACCCCTGCTCGCTCCAGCCATGGGCTGGGTGGTATTGATGTCCCAGGAGATGGGGTGCAGGGCGTGAGCTTGGGGGTGAGAGCTCGCCAGGTGGGTAGTGAGGATGGGGCAGAGAAAGCAGGGAGAGCTGGAGGGCCAGCCTTGTGCATGGAGCAGCAGCTGAGAAGCAGCCAGGGGAAAACCAGCAGGCGGGACCATGCCCCAGGATGGCGCAGCTACCCCAGGACAGGCAGCGGGGAGCAGGGGGACTCTCAGCATGCACCCTGCCCCGGCCAGGGCTCACAAAAAAACAAGGCAAGCCCCTCTCAGACCCACATTAACCCCTTCCATGGAAATAAACACAGTGCTTCGGCTCCAGGGCCAAACTCTCAGCTGGTGTAAAACCATCCATAACAGCACGATTTACACCCACCAAAGTCCCCCACTTTTGCCCTGCACCCCTGGAGCCAGGGCTAGTGAAGGATGGAGCCGCAGAATAAATCACTGGCGGGCAGGCGGGGGACCGGGAGGGGAAAGCCTTACGGAGAGCTTTATTTTAGGGGTCAAAAGAGTGTGACAATGTGGAGACGAATAGCCTCAGATAATGAATGATAGCCCGGACGGCACGCCGGGGAGCTGGAATCTAAGCACTTAAAACCGGATAAAGACAGGCTGGGTGAAATTCTTAATAGATTTAAATAGTTCATGTTTCGACAGATACCTGGGCTTTCCAAGGCTGGGTCCCAGCTCTGCGCCTGTAATGAATCCCCCACCCCCTCCGGTATCCTGCAAGGCACCGTCTCTGCGTCTCTGCCTTTGATGAAGGCACCATTACAAACAGGGGTTTTGTCCCCGCCGCATCCAGGCCACCACTCGGGAGGGGACACCATAGGGACCCTCGGGCTTTTAATTAAAGTTGACTTATTGGAGGGGTCTGGAGGCCCCTACCCCCCCTTCCCCACCCCCCAGGCATGGGGGTGCCCCCAAGCTGGATCCACCTGGCCAAGCGAGCAGCGATCCCCGCCCAAGGGTTGCCTTGGGTGTCAGGGGTTCTGTCCCCAGGTTGGGGTGGGGGGACCACCCCCAGGGAGCGAGGGACCCTGCGCACCCTCCTGGCACCCGCCCCGGGATGCCCTACTCACCACCAGAGCCCGATGATGTTGGCGGGGCAGAGGAGGATGAAGAAGAGCCCCAGCTGGGTCCGGGAGGAAGGCAGCATCCTGCCAGGGCTGGGGGGAGCGCCGAGCCCCCTCC